CATGTTTGGAGAACTGATTTCTTTCTGAGGCAAATGCTTCTGTGTCCTCTTGGAAATAATTCTGTGGGAGAAAAGAAAAATTCAACCCTATTTCATGCACCTGAGGGATGTAAGAGGTATCTGACTTTGAGGAAGTGGCCACAATGCCTTGTCCAGCCTCTCTTTCTTCTTGTAATATATCTCAATACTGCAAGGGAGAGACTTGCCCAAACATTTTGCAGAAAGATAGGGTGCAGCAGAGGTTTTTGGAGAAGGGGCTTTTTAAAGTGTGCTGGGAAGAGCTGCTCCTAATTAGGCAATAGTTGTCAGAAGTCTTCTGCTTTTTATTCTAAGCAGAGCACCCCTTGTAAATAGGATAGTCCTGTATGAAAAATGTTTATAATAGGAAAAAAACCTAAGCTGCAGAGAGAATACAGTGATCACTAGGCTCCCTTCCAGCAGATGGTAGGAGAGAGCCTGGAGGAAACCCATTTTGCAGATTAGATACACAGATTATCTGTAGTTATCATTAGTGTTTGAAGGAGAAGATACGAGAAAGATAAAGGGAATAATGCAATTACCCACACCCTTTCCTCTGAAAGGGTTTGCTCAACTATTAAAAAGCTTTCTCTTCCCTTACGCACCTCCCTAATGTTATCCACATGTAGTGTACTTCAATATTTACATTCTGATCTTCTAGCCAAATTAGGACAAAAATTTGTATTATGTGAACTGCCCATCTGTTCATCGTTTACCCAAAAATATTAGCCAGTTCAGAGCAGAGTCCCTGAGTTCTCTCATTTTGATGGATTGGGGAAGTACAGGTAGAGAAGCAAAAGGAAAGGTAAGTGAACTAACATGGTTATGGTCCTTCCAAAGTGGATCATAAACCAGGCTGTTCTGACAGGTACAGGAGCCAATCACGAGGAAGATCTCAGCAGAGCTCCTGGGAAGAGGAGATCAATCCAGCCTTTCTCAGGAGCTGCTTTTCAGAAGGATTCAACTTGGGCCACCTTGCCAGGTAAATGCAGGTTTCTTCTGAGAGCAGAAGAGTTCCAGCTCCGTCCATTCACAAGCTGCCTTTACCACCAAATGCTGAGTCTGTGTGCATCTGAACACACCATCCCCCAAGAAGGTCTTGCTGAGTCACATATTCGGCTTTCAAAATTGTTCTGGAGATGCAAATGCTGAGAAACATGTATTAGTAAATGTAATTTATAGGTTGGAAGAGTTTAATACTTCTTAATACTTTTCAATGCTGAAATCTAGTTAGAAATGAAATCAGCAAATTGAAACAAAGGGAATAGGATTGAGAAATGGTTCAAAAATATGCTAGCATATCCACTTAAAAATGATTCATATGAAGAACAGACCCCTAATTCAACACTAAGTGGCTGCAACAATAATACATGTTAAAGCTTTTTGAAGACCTTTGAAACTAGTTCAAAAATAAAAGCCCTCCCCCCTCCCTCCCCCCCTCTCAGCAAACCACTTACTGGGAAAATCTAACAAATTCCAATCCTTTTTGTCTTTTAAAAGGGGGGGTATGCCACTCGCCTGTCTCAATAACTGTTTGACAGTTCCTAGGGAACAAGAAAAATAAAAGGACTACAACAGTTTGTTTTACATCAGGGGTAGGCAACCTTGGCTCTTTTATGACTCGTGGACTTCCACTCCCAGAATTCCTGAGCCAGCCAATGGAATTTGTGGAACTAAAAAAAATTCAGTCAGACCTTCCAACTTCTTGTGGGGAAAAAAAAAGATCTCACCTGGAGTTGGAAAGTCTGACTGAACTTTTTTTAGTCCCACAAACTCCGTTTCCCTGCAGCAGAAGAGAACCATGCCAGAGCTGGAAAGCAGGTTAGCAAAGAAATGCTTTCAGGGAAGAGGGAGGAGCTGCGCTGGGGGGAGAAGCGGCAGGAAACGGGGCTGCCATTTCCAGAAGGGAGAAGGGAGACATGGGCAACGTAGGGCAGCAAGCAAGTGCTGTTCTCTGCTCTGCATCCCTGCGCAGAGCCACTGCATTCTCTGTGAGACAGGTGACAAAGGACTGGCGGAGGGAGGCAGCGGGGAAGGTGTGTGACAGGAGAGTTGGCGTAGGATGAGGTGGCTGCGCCCGGGCAGGTGATCTGCAGGGCGAAGTTCACTCCCCCCTGGCTCCGAAACGGTGGAGGGGGACTTGGCCTACTCCGCCCATCCCATCCACCTTAGCATGGCAGTCCGGCTTGGGAGGGGAGTGAAAGGTGGCCGATCACGGAATGGCCTGGGGGGGGGAGTGGGTGTCTGAGTTCCGGCACCTTTTTTCTCACAAAAACAGCACTGGCCTTATCAAGTGGGAAGGTGCCTCCGCCTCTGGCCTCCTTCCTTGTGCTCCAGGGTGTGAATGAGGCAGGCGCCTCGTGCATAAAAGGTGCTCCTGTGGGGCGAGAGCACGTGGTGGCTATAAAGAGCTGATCTTTCCTTTAGGCCCCAGTTTTGAGGCTGGAGAGGAAGGTGTAACGCAGCCCTCGGCTGAAGATCTTTCAGATGCGGAGCTTTGGGCGGTTCCTGAGGAAACACTCTTCTCCTCCCTCAAATTGGCTGCTAGCGGCTTGGTTGGCTCTGCTCCGTCCAAGTTGAAGAAAGCAGAGGCCAGCAGAAAGCAGCTTTCTTCAACTCGGACGGAGCAGAGCCATCAAAGCCGCTAGTAGCCGATTTGAGTGCGGAAGACAAGAAGAGCATGAGGCCAGGTGAGAATAAGGGTGGCTGGGGAGGGGGGATCATGGCAGTGGCATTGGCAGCTCCCCCCACCCAGCCCATTTCCCCAACCAGCTCCATACGATACTTAGCAGAACACACACACCCCACAGGCCCCGTCTGACCCACGCACCTTCTTTCCAACAGTCCTCCATCTCTTCCTCCACTGCCACCACGTGCAGTCCCAAGAAGAAAGGAAGGTTGTGGGCAGTCCCACAAACAAAAGAAGCTCAACCAATCAATTCCAACTTCGCAAATCTTTTTTTCTCATGAGAAGTTTGAATTGAATGGTTGAACTTTTTTAGTCCCACTTTTTTTTGTGGTACTGCAAATAGCAGAGGAGGACTGGGCTGCAGGAGAAGGCTGAAAGAGCTTCATGTGGCTCCAGAGCCACGAGTTGCCGACCCGTGGTCTAGGGGATTCTTCTCCCTGAAACCTCCTTGCTGGTTTATTTTGGTCCAGTGGAAAGCTCCCCAATGGTGTCTCTTTTAGCATTTTACAACCTGGATGCACCTAAGCCATTTGTGCAGCTACAGCTTCCTAGCCCTAAGGACTCTGTTGATACGCAGACATAAATCTGTCCTGCTAGAAAGTACCCATTGGTCTATTGCAAACCTATTTTCTGTAATAAGAGAGAAAACGTAGACGTCTTTCCTGGTATTGTCTGCTAAAGAAAGTTTTATTTCTCTTTCTAGGGATACAGTCCCTTTGAGGAGGTGGTTTTGAACTTCACAGAGGAGGAGTGGAATCTGCTGGATTCTGGCCAGAAGGCCTTATGTAGGGAGGTCATCAAGGAGATTTCTACGGATATGGCAGCTTTGGGTAAGGCCAGGATTTGCTCTGGGTTCCCTTCATTTTTTCAGTGGAAAGACAACAGAGAAGTTGTCTGCACTTAGTTGCATCTTTACAAGGCAGTGCAGAAATACTCATCATCGATTTGGGAAATGTTTAGATGCTTTGTGGACAGGGTTGGGCAGATTGACGGATCAATACCAAAGCTTTAATACATTTCTCAGTTGAAAAATTATTCGCATACCATCAGTCTCCTAAATAACAATTTGCAGCTATCACATCCTAGCCAAATGTGGGTGGTGTAAGGACCCACCCCACTTTGCATCTTAAGAAGACAGAACTCTTGGAATATTTCTTCCAACAGGCATCCTTTATTAAGAGAAAATGGTTGCAGGCATTCTAGACAGGACTTGGGGCCAAGCCCTATGGTTCAAGGTTTTAAGGGGTTCCCAGCAAACCCATCCCACCCCACCATCCTTCCAGGCGTTACATTTCCACCGCCTTTTCCTCATTGCCGGCGGAAGGGAGACTTCAGAGGGGAGTAGATGAAAGCTGATGGCCCCATTGTTATGTGTAGTCCTTTTGGTGGTATTCACATACAGTCCCTTTTGAGGTTGTACCGAAGGAAGTGAGGGCCATAAAACCCCTTTGTTCACCCCCCTTCCCCTTCATCGTATGACAGAATCCAGAGAGGGCAGAAATGGGGTTTTCCATAGTCGATAACTAGAGATGAAATATAAATGGATTCTGACAGGTGGTGACAAATCTGGAATGCAGATTGGCATGTTTGTTAGTGAGGGAAGACAATATTATCCTTCGCCATTCTATATTCTAACCCAAATATTTATTTTCTTTTTTCCAAGCCGATAATGGGCAGGACAAAGAGAATGACAAGAAAGCTAGGTTGAAGCCACTTGAAACAGAGATGCATGATATACAGGAAGTAATGTTTGGCCATCAAGGGGACATAAAAAGGCAAGAGAGAAACCACACAGAAGGAGGGATGAGCTCATCCACTTTGCTTCCTATTGGAATCCATGGCTTCCTGTCCCAGCAAGTTGAAAAAGTAAAGAGAAAGGGACAATACAAGAAAAAAGAGAAAAATCCAAATACATATGACTATGAGAGAAACCAGACTAAAGGAAAACTCTATGAGTCTCAACAGTATGGAAAATATGTCAAAAATTCCTTTGCCCTTACTTTACTTAAGAAAGTCTATAAGAAAAACAAACCACAAACCTCTATAAAATCTGGCAGGGGTTCCAGTCGGAGCAGAGAGATGATACTGAGCTTGAAGTGTGGAAAGAATATTGGTAGCAAGAGTAAACTTAATCTCCACCAGAGAATACCCACTGGGGAGAGACCATATAAATGTCTACAGTGTGGAAAAAGCTTTACTCGGAAAAGATATCTTAATTACCATAAGAGGATCCACATAGGTGATAGACCTTATAAATGCCTGGAGTGTGGGAAGAGCTATACTCAGAAAGGAGATCTTAATTCTCATAAAAAGGCCCATACAGGAGAAAGACCATATAAATGCACAGAGTGTGGAAAGAGCTTTGTTTACAATAGAAACTTTATTTTTCATCAAAGGATCCACACAGGAAAGAGACCGTACAAATGCCTGGAATGTGGGAAGAGTTTTTTTAGCAAAACATGCCTTACTCGGCACCAAAGGATACACACTGGGGAGAAACCACATAAATGCTTGGAGTGTGGAAAGAGCTTTACTCAGAAAGGACATCTTAATGCTCATAAAACATTACACACTGGGAACAAACCACATAAATGCCTGAAGTGTGAAAAGAGCTTTACTCGAAAAGAAAGTCTTAATTCTCACGAAAGGAATCACACTGGGGAGAGACCGTATAAATGTCTGGAATGTGGAAAGAGCTTTACCCAGAAAGGACATCTTAATTCTCATGAAAAGATCCACACAGGAGAGAGACCATATAGGTGCCTGGAATGTGGAAAGAACTTCAGTGACAAAAGTAGACTTAATCGCCACCAAAGGATCCACACAGTGGATAATCCATATAAATGCCTGGAGTGTGGAAAGAATTTCAATAGCAAGAGTAAGCTTAGTGTCCACCAAAGGATCCACACTGGGGAGGAACCACATAAATGCTTGGAATGTGGAAAGAACTTCAGTGACACAAGTACTCTTAATCGCCACCAAAAGATCCACACACTGGATAACCCATATAAATGCTTGGAGTGTGGAAAGTGTTTCAATATGAAGTATAAGCTTAGCCTCCACCAAAGCATCCACACTGGGGAGAAACCACATAAATGCCTGGTGTGTGGAAAGGGCTTTACGCAGAAAGGACATCTTAATTCACATGAAAAGATCCACACAGGAGAGAAACCATATAGATGCCTAGAATGTGGAAAGAATTTCAATAGCAAGAGTAAGCTTAGTGTCCACCAAAGGATCCACACTGGGGAGAAACCACATAAATGCTTGGAGTGTGGAAAAAACTTCAATGACAAAAGTAGTCTTAATTGCCACCAAAGGATCCATACAGTGGATAACCCATTTAAATGCCTGGAATGTGGAAAGAATTTCAATAGCAAGAGTAACCTTAGTATCCACCAAAGGATCCACACTGGGGAGAAACCACATAAATGTCTGAAGTGTGGAAAGAGCTTTACTCAGAAAGGACATCTTAAGGCTCATAAAATGTTACACACTGGGGAGAAACCACATAAGTGCATGAAGTGTGGAAAGAGCTTTACTCGAAAGGAAAATCTTAATTCTCACAAAAGGATCCACACAGGAGAGAAACCATATAAATGCCTGGAATGTGGAAAGTCCTTTTCTCGGAAGGGACATCTTAAGTCTCATAAAAGGATCAACACTGGGGAGAGAACATATATGTCTATGGAATGTGAAAAAAAATGATTACAACATATTTATTTGTCACAGAGGCATCCACACAGGAAAACGATGGAGATGCATGAAAAGTGGAACAACTTTCACTGAAAATAATGTACTTACTTTTCATAAAACAATCCACATAGGAAAAACCAAATGAATCCATGCCTTGAGCTTTATTTGCAACTGTCAACTTTTTCATCATGCGAGGATCTAGATATGGCAGGATGCTTATTAATGCATGGACTGTGGAAAGATCTTCTGCTGGAATCATATTTAACATACAGGAGAAATATTATAAGCAACTGAATATGAGAATTGCTGATGGTGGATCAGCAATTTCTTGAGGCAAATACATCTATTTCTTCTAAGAGAGAATTCAGGAGAAGAAAATAAATTCAACCCTATTTCATCCTGGATTTTATAAAGAGGCATAGAATCAAGATCATGCGAAGTATTAGTACCACTTTATAAAACCCTAGTAAGACCACACATGGAATACTGCAACCAGTTTTGGTCACCATACTACAAAAAAGATGTTGAGACTTTGGAAAAAGTTCAGAGAAAAGCAACTAAAATGATCAAAGGCCTGGAGGCTAAAATATATGAAGAACGGCTGCAGGACTTAGGTTTGGCTATAGTCTAAAGCAGTGATTCTCAACCTTTTTAATGCCATGACCCCCAACCGGTTGTAAGTTGAGGACTACTCAACTGGTGCAGCACTGTTTGCAGAATGGGACTTTTGGCGGGCTCAGCAGGGCAGAGACAGCCTGGACAATTCCTATTGGCTTTTGAAAGCCAATAGAATTAGACTCTATTCAAGAGAGTCTATTCCATTGGCTTTCAAAAGCCAATAGAATAAAACGGAGTAGCACAGCTAAGGAAAAGGAAAAAAATGGCGGACTGCGTTGTTTGGCGACCCCCATGAAATGGTCGTTTGACCCCAAATGGGGTCCCGACCCACAGGTTGAGAACCACTGGTCTAAAGCATAATAATTCCCTGAATACATTGATTGTTTTGTTGTGTTGTCTGTGACTATCTTTGTTAACACTACGCAACTAAATTTTTTGCTTTGTTCAGTAATTTGCTTGTTTATCTCCTCAACCTCTCCTCATACTTGGCGGGGGGGAAAAGCAAGTCTAGATTGGGATGTTCAAACAATGTAGCAAACACAGCAGTGGCACTACTTCCGTTAGAGAGCAAGCATCCCAGTCTGGTGGAAGGCTTAAGTGGGAAATTAGTCTGGAATTTTTACGTAAACCCAATGGCAACATCTGACCCCATCCCCAAATGCTTTTGAGCCTTTTCCAGTAATTCCCAGGCGAAAGCTACTAGTCTGGGATGATTCCTGTGGAACAGGCATAAAACAATCCAGTAGCCTGTTTGAACTCTATAAATACCTGTCTGGTTCTTTGCAGCTGATAACTTTCATATTATGGCTGAAGAAATGATGCTGTTTGAACCAGATCAATTTATGTATCATAGTTTGGTTGGTTGGTTTGCAGTTTTGTGGTTTCACTTCTTTCTCTTGGTTAAAGACTGGAATATAGCGCTTCTCCAGTCTCCTGGCAGTTTTTCTAATAGTTTAGGAACACTCAAAGATTACAGTCAGTGCTTCTGAAATCACATACCAAATACCCGGGATGTTATTCATGTGGTCCCAGAGAATTGAATTCATTCAGAGCAGGTCAGCCTTCTATTACTACTCCCTTGCGTAGTTCCACCTGCATTTTCCTTCTGCCATTGCCATGTTGTGAAAAGAAAGATGCAAAACAGAATAATAATAATTTATAATTAATATAATAAAGTTGGAAGGGACCTTGGAGGTCATCTAGTCCAACCCCCTGCTCAGGCAGGAAACCCTATACCATTTCGGACAAATCGCTGTCCAGTCTCTTCTTAAAAACTTCCAGTGTTGGAGCATTCACCACTTCTGGAGGCAGGTTGTTCCACTGGTTGATTGTTCTAACGATCAGGAAGTTTCTCCTTAGTTCTAAGTTGCTTCTCTCCTTGATTAGCTTTATCATGTCCCCCCTTGTCCTTCTCTTCATTAAACTAGACATACCCAATTCCAGCAACCGTTCCTTATGTTTTAGCCTCCAGTCCTCTAATCATCTTTGAGGCTCTTCTCTGTACTCTTTCTAGAGTCTCAGCATCCAAAACTGGATGTAGCCTTCCTATTGTGGCCTTACCAAGGCATTGTAAAGTGGTATTAACACTTCACGTGATCTAGCACTGATGAGGTTACCTAGTTAGGGTAATGAAACATTTGCAAGAAAAGAAGCAAACTTGGAGAGCACCCAGGACCTCATTCCAACCCTGAGCTATAAATATTCTCCTTCATTGGTATTAGTCTTTCTTGCCCATGGCCACTCACTAGAAGTGGTGTGCCACACCTCTCACACCTTTTTCACCCAGCCCCACCCTGTATGACACTTGCACCACTCCTCAAGCCTTTCCTGCACACCTACCAACACACTCCCCAAACCAACAGCTAGATACCCAGCTGGGTACTCCCTCTGGGCTGAGGGCTCCCTCGGAGGTTTTTTGGGCCACATCTCCCCCCCCCCAGTCCCCTCTTGGACCTGCCTGAAAGGCAACAAGGCCTTTGGCTGCTCCCATACGGGGAGACCACTGGGTTTTCTGCTCCTGGACAGAAAGAACAAGTCCAAGACAACTAGAGTTGCCTCCCACCACCACTTCACCCCATTGCTAGGAGAGGAGAAATGGAGCTCTGGCTTCTTGGGGGCTTCTGTGCCTGAGAGCAGCAACTGCAAATCGCTCCCCCCCCCACAATTCCCCTGCACACTGCTGATCCCTCAAACCTCACCCTGGAGTCCAAACAATAGCTGCAAGCTTTCTAAAGAGGATTTTGAAAGAGAGAAGGAAAGCGCCCCTTCCTCTTTCAACTTCCCTGCTGGAAGAGTTGAGCTGGTGCTTTTCTTGCCAAAGCGGGAGGGGGGTGCGAGGCAATTCTCTTGGCGTCCTCCCTCTAAATCAGGCTTTTGCACCTGCCTTCCTCCTTTGCCTTGCAGGAAAATCGGGGAGCCTCACCTGAAAGATGCAACTTTTCGGCTCTGGGTTCAGCTCAGGATTAATGCATTGGAGGGGGGGATAAACATCGAAAGCAGCTAACACGTTTTCCAGCTAACACATTTCCTTAAAAAACAGAATTTCTTGAGTGCAGCTCTCTTCGCCAGATGCAGAGAGCAGCTAGACCAATGATCTAAACCTTTTAGAACCAGTTTAGTGCCCAAACTGCAACAAAAAAACCACTTATGTATCCTCGGGTGCCGGTTGGGTAAGGCCCATTGGGTGGGTGTGGTCCGTATGGTGGGTGTGGCTGCGGTGGTAATGGCAGAATGGGTGGGACTAAAAAATTCAATTCCAACTTTGCGAGATTTTTTTTTCTCCGCGAGAAGTTAAAATTGATTGATTGATTGAATCTTTTTGTTTTTGCACACGGTGGAGGCCTAAAGTGAAAAGGTTTTATAACACCCAGCTGAAGGCCTAGGAATGGGGCAAGGGCCCGCGTACCCACAGAGAGGGCTCTGCGTGCCACCTGTGGCACGCATGCCATAGGTTCGCCGCCAGGGAGCTAGACTAATGTAGGATTTAAATGAGGGGAGGGAGATTGAATTCCACGTCTCTGTTTAAATACTCACCCTTGTCAAACCAGGAAGACCAGATTAGAGGCAGAGTGTTTTAGAAAAATCTTATGTGGGCGCTAAGAGTTAACACCAATTTGATGGCACACAATCTATTTAACTAAATCTCGAACGCAGTATGATAACTAACTAAACTCGGAGTGCATATATTTTTTGCAGAAATCATGCTTTTCTCCTTTAGCTTTAGAATTTGCTGTTTAGAAGTATGTACAATTTAACATCCAAAGCTTTTTGAAAATCAGATCATTTGTTTTCAACTTAGATCCCCTGATAAAAGACAAGAATAAGTGAACTCTGAATAAAAGTAGTGAAGTTGGTCCTTTAACTTCCCCCTTCCCCAGAAATACACTAAATTTGAACATTTGCTGTAAGAGGACTTTATCCTGATGGTAGTTTATAAATAGGGAACAGGAAGCACTAACTTTCAATCTCAGCCCAACTCTGGCTGTTCCAAAGGGCTCTGAGTATGGAATTGCTGTGAAAAGGGAAGCTCCCTGCTAAATTATGTTTGTGTGGTTTGATTATTCCTTTGGCATGAATTTTAATTTCTTTTTCTTATTTTGCAGTATTGTTTTTAATCATCTTAATGGAGAATGGTTTATGAGGAGTCTTTATGCAATAACTGGAAGCAAGCTGTCTTTAGTGGGGGGGGCGGGGTCCGGGTAATGTAAAAATAAACAAGGACTGTAAAAGTAATAAATAATTGGAATACCTGGCAGTGATAATACTGCATGGATTTTGTTGGTTTGTGTAAATTGTGCTTCCCCAACTGTAGAATTCTGGGGCTTTTATCCAGTTCTGATGGTCATAACTCCCAAGATTATGGAGTATATTGGCTGGGATATGTTGTGCTAACCTCCAATATGCGTTCTTTGGCTTTTCTCTAGAGAAGGGGACAGGGCAGCCAAAAGAGCAGAGATTGGGTGGGGATAAAAAGGTGGAGGCAACTGAAAAGGAGGCAGTCTCTTACTTTACAGGTTAAGGGAGGTTTGGGACAAGGAGGGGGGTGGGAATCAAGCCCAGAATTGCTTGGATTTAGGGCGATCCTTGCCTAACATGACCGGCAGAATTGATCCTCCTCTCCCCTGTTTCTGGAGTTTGGCGCCCCAAACTCCATTGCTCGGCTTCTCCGCCTGTTCTTCATTCTGCCAGAGGGGACTTCAAAAGGCAGGCAAGGGTGAGTTGCACCCCCCCCTCAGGTGTCTCTTCTCCACTGTCTTGCAGGGCTGCTCCGAGTGCAGAAGGCAAACCCAGTGCTAGCAGGGAGACTTGGGGCGCCAAGGGCAAGGCGGTGCGTGGGGAAGAAGGGGATCCGCTGCCCAGCCACTTTCATCTTGAATGGCCAGGAGGGACATTGCGAGTCTGGATCCTGAGGGCTGCAACTGGTTGGAGCTGAATCTCTGGAGTTTGCCTGCGTCTCTTTCACTGCCTGAGCTGTCCTGGCCAGGTGCTCCCTGTCTCTTGCTCTCCTTTGCTCCCTTTCTCCTTTTTC